TTGTCATTGACATATATCATGAAATTTATCGATCAATAAATTTTACTAATTTGAAATAAACTTTTTTAGTTTTATGCGAATGCTGTAAACATTATTTTTAGTTTTATGCAAATGTAGTAGGGTGAATTGTTTTTATATTTTTTTTGGATATTCGGAAATTTTACCTATCAGTTATATTTCACAAAGTTTACGACGATAGCTCCTATTCCAGTTACAGAAAGTACGATATTATTTTCCAGACGGTAAAAAGCTCACCCAGTATATGTGCCTTTTTGTTCGATAACTTGTTGCCATAATTCCGTTGCTGTAGAAATCGTGGGATTTTTGATTAAAAAAATGCCATAAGTAGTTTTGACAGTCCTTTCTTAATGTTACTACCCGAAGAATTCTCAAGAGACCGAAGCGGGCGAAAATCTGAAGTTGCAAGGTCAGGACTATAATGGTGAATGCATTTACACTTCTCAAGCTCTTTAAATTTTTTATGAATGGCCAAAGATGTGTGTGGTCTGGAGTTATCATGATTATATACCACTCTTTTACTGTTGATCAATTTCGGGCGGTTTTTTCTCAATTTCTAGAGTCTCATTAGTTGTTGGCAGTAGAGATCCAAATCGGTGGTTTCGCGCAACGGTAAATGCTCATAATAAACGATGACCTTCCAATCCCACCACACAAAATATTTTTTATTTTTATATATCATAATGTCCTGTATGTATTGACATTAAAACCAGCCAGATACAAACAGTACAACCAAAGAGATTTTTCTTCAATTTTATACAAACAAAATATGAAGAAAATTTTTAATATATTTTACATAAAAACTTTGTACCCCCTTTTTAAGACCAATAAAATAATTTTTTGAAGAAAGAAAAATACGTCAATTTTATTATTTTTAACTGAATTTAATTAAATTTGAACATTATTACATAGATCAACTCTGCATGCATGCAAATTAATACATGTTTTTTTAATTATCAAGTAAAAAAAACATGTATTAATTTTTCTCTGGTCCCCGGGCGGTACTGGATCGTTTTCAAAAAATGCTAAATTCGAATTCATTTGTTTCATATTATACAGAACACAATTAGTAAGTTTTAGTAAGTCAATCGCTCCGTGAAATAAAAGTTTCAGACAAACTGTGCACACTGTTTCACCCTCTTAGATGTTGAATTTTCCTGAATCCTAGGCAGCTAGTGTCCAGTTATCAGATTTCTACATATAGCGTTTGGGCTATGCGTTGGTAGATGAGTCAGTCATCCTCTTTTATATACATATATTACACTCGTAGATAAGGAACTATTAATAAATCTGCTGCGTTACACATACTACTTCCTAGTAGCTTTGCTTTATTATGCCCTATATTGGGTAATAAAGAGTCAATGATGAAGTAGTTTTGTACCTTATGTATTTGGTTTAGTTCAAATAGGGGCCTAATTTAATTTTTGCCCCGGGGCCCTTGTTTACAAACCTACGCCACTGACCCCAAGCCCTTGATAGTTAACTATCTATCACCACACAGGTTGTTATAAAATAAAGTCATTTTTGTTTTCAAGTCGAAAATGACATGGTATGTCTATGTGAAGTTTAAACGAATACAAGGCCAGCTGAAACTTAAGACAGGCGTAGTGCCTTGCTTGTGCAGTGCTTACTTGCCAAAAGTAGTTAAATGAAAACCTGTACGTTGTAGAAAAACTAATGCGATAGATTTAGGCACGACATGACATGTTGTATACAGTGAAACCTCGTTAATTGTGATCTCAAGGGACCAAGGATTTTGTACCATTTAAAGAGGTTTTCATTTATCCAGTTTTCCAATTAGACAGGTTTAAAATTTAGTTTACAGAGGTCCAAAAATTAAGAAATTTAATAAACAATCGTGTCGAAACCTGTCCCAACCTGATAAATTGTGTCACTTATAGAGGTAAACATCTAAAAAGATCCTAGAAATCAAATCTCATTTAAGCAGGGTTGAAAAGTCCCATTAACAGAGGTAATTCGATGAAAAAGTGCCGGAACCTCAGTGTAGTTCTCAATAATAGAGGTTTCTAACTTATTCAGGTCCCACCTAAACCAGGTTTCACTGTATTTCTAACGTACCTTCTACTACTTCATAGATTGCCTTGTTGCCATCGTCACTTTTTAACAAATATTAAGTTACCATAAAACCTTCCACTTCAGATAAATTGTCCTTTTTAAATTAGATAGGACAAAAATTGCGTAGAAACAAGCGTATCCGACTGTTGAGTACGTATGTAGGATAATGGCTCGACAGTGATGACGTCACTCTACGAGCATACTATCAGAGAGAATTCTCGGGAATTTGAAGAACTGTTGCGAACTTCTCCCAGTAATAACTTCAGTATTAGTGCATGCATTAAGGAACAAACTAGTGTGACGTACGTAAAATAAGCTTTTATAATAAATATACGAGGGCTGCACTAAATGTATCGGGAATGGAATATTTCCACTGTTCCTGTCATATTAAAATCTTTTTAATTGAAAACTCCTAGTTTTAAAAATCGAATACCATTTATTTATTTAAAAAAAAGATTCTCGGTCTTGTCACAAGGTTTTGTCAAACTTGTTTAGTCGTTGAGAAAATGGAATTGACTCGAGAAAATTCAAGAGCGATGATTTATTATGACTTTCGAAGTGGTTTAACACAAAAACAGTGTGTTGACCGGATGATTTCTGCATTTGGTGATGCAGCCCCATCCAAAACCACAATTTATCGCTGGTTTGCTGAATTTCAACGTTGACGTGTCAAGCTCAGTGATGATCCCCCATCAAGGTCGTCCATAGACTGCAGTCACCGAAGAAAACGTTGATGCTGTGCGTAAGCTGATTGAGGAAGATCGACATGTGACATACCGCGAAATTCAGGCAACTTTAGACATTGGCATGAGTCAAATACAAATAATCTTGCATGAACAATTAGGTGTAAAAAAGTTGTTTTCCTGACCGCATTGCCTGTGAAGAGCAAAAAGCGGCTCGCGTTACTTGGTGCGTCAGAACTCTCGAAAGATTCCACACAGGATCCTCAAATGCTGTATACAACGTCGTATAAGGTGATGAATCCTGGATATACGCGTAAGAACCCGAAACAAAAAACCAGTCACGAGTTTGGGTGTTCGAAAACGAGTTAAAGCCAACAAAAATTGTTTGTTCACGGAGTGTTGCAAAAAAAATGGTGGCCACGTTTGTCTCCAAAACCGGCCATGTTACGACTATTCCTCTTGAGGGACAAAGAACGGTTAATGCAGAATGGTATGCTAGCATTTGTTTGCCACAGGTCGTTTCTGAACTCCGTAAAGAGAACTGCAACCGCCGCATCATCCTCCATCACGACAATGCGAGTTCTCACACCGCACACAGAACAAAAGAGTTTTTAGTAGATTTTCCATCGTATGGAAAAATGTGTCAAATTTCGCGGAGAATACTTCAAAAAGCAATCAATATATTTTTAAATAGTAATGTTGTGTCACTTCCTTGATTCCCGAAATTTTCAGTGCCGCCCTCGTACTGGCTCATTGGCAGCCTTTTAGCTTACGAGCAATCTCTACCAGGTAACCATATACCTGTGAGAAAGGCTATTATATCCTATATTATAAATCCATATCATTATATTTAGTTAAAATAATTCTATTTGTACTTTTATTTCCTCTCTTCTTACACAAGGCGAGTGGAGGGGAATGGCGAAAATCTTAGGATCTTCGACTCCTTGTTTACGTAGTACTAGATTAGTAGAATCGAGCTTATTGTTATCATATGCGTGTACTGTTAAGATTTTTTATAGAATAAGAGTGACAAACGAGCACACAGTCCACCTGATGGTAAGTGGATGCTGTGGCCTACAGACTTCTGCATTTATCTTCGATTCCGAATCAAAACGTAGATGAGTCGTCACCCCGGAGGACTAAGATGAAAGGCCTCGTTTCCAGTAAAAAAGGGTCTCCGGATTTCTACACTCACCATACGTAACATAGCAGTATTAAGCTGCTATTTTACGCTGGTTTTCTGTGAGAGCATGGTCCTTCTCCGGTCGAGCCGACACATTCATGCTACAACTATACTACTAATATAACTGCAGCCACCACTTTGCACGCATGAAGAATGTTTTAAAATTTTAATATCTTTACGAATACAATGTCTATCACATCTCTCGTATAACAGGGGCAACCCACAACATGTTACAAATTGTAGCCTTTCTGGAGCTTGCCTTTATGTTTGCCCTATATAGAGACCCACCACGTATAACATGATGGCTCGCATTGGGTCCTTTTACACGCTTTTATGAGCTTCGCGTGTGTCTATCTATTTATCTATCTATCTGTGTAACGGAATATTTTTATGTAATTTTCACCAACTTGTAGACGGCCGATTGACTTGAAAATTTGAACCCGCATTAAGGATGACAATACAATAATAATTTAATAACTATCCTAGTGTACTGATCAGGATCACCAGGATAAAATAAAGCAACAATCAGGATCATCACAGCAGCATGATCAGTGCGTGTTATTTAAGTATTTTCAAACTCTTATATTATTATTAAAAAAGACACTTTTTACTGCTGCAAAATTAATTTAGTTATTACACATCGGAATTTTACAAATTTTTAAGAAATTCCTGTACCGAATAAAGTTTAGGGTTTTACTGCATAAATTATATGAAAAGCATCGGTCCACAGCGTGTCGTGTTGATTTAAGAACATCCACTACGCCATGTGGTGCCGTGGGTGTTGTAAGCCGCGACAGAGAGAAATTGGTTCTTTAGCTACGTCTTCTTAATAACAACTCAAAATAAAAAAAACTGCGATTGCCAAACGTGGCAACTGTGGCTAATGTCTTCCTGATGAGGCAATCTATGGGGGAAAGCCAATGTTTAGCAGTGGATTTTAATAATTTCAAATGGTAACGGTAACATCGGTCCATAACGGTGGGTACACAGTTGAGTGGCAGTTGTGCAGTTGGCAGTGACAGTGTGGTGGTTGGTTGCAGGTACCGCGCGGCTCTGGCGGCGGCGCCGAGCTCGACTGCGGTACCGCTGCTGTCGGTCACCTGCCGCGACCTGCACTTCGCCAACCAGGCTGCGCCTACCAGGTATTGACGACCATCACGTTATACACATATTTTTTATAGAATAGGATTGACAAACGAGCGTACAGTCCACCTAATGGTAAATTACATAGAATAGTATAATACATACATAATAGAACGGGAGAGTGGGCGGAGCCCGTGTAGCCACTAACATGTCACTAACACTTCAATCCACACTTATAAATGTCAACACAATCAATCGTTTCCAATTTTCGTGTTAAGCGTCGCTGCATGAAAATTACTTAAAAAATGGCAAATTATGCAATAATTACGTGTCGAAAGAACTGCGGGAAATGGAATTTAAATAAAGGAGACATATTCTACAACCAGTAAGTCGAAACTATTTATATTTTGTGAATATTTGAAACTGTGAATATGTGATTTTTTTTTAAGAAATAATGAAACATGAATGTGTCAGAAACATTAATCAAAAGTCTAAAATGTGTTTGTAGTAGTGATAACTATATACGACGTAATTGCTTGTATGTGTGATCCCGGCGACGCCAATCCTCCTACAAAGTAAGGTTGACAGCCATTCTATTGTGTATTATAGTATTCTATGGTAAATTATCAAAAATTATTGAAGCCAAAATTATTAAACTTAACTTTGAATAAAAATGGTTTGCACTCCTGCTTTTGCGAGTCCCTTATTGTTTCTAATGCTATATAATAAATGTACACTAATCTTTACACTTTTCTAAAACATTTACATTCCCTGTTACGAAATCTGTGAAATATTTCATGTCATGCCTAAATGGCGCCGGCGTGGTGGCTGAAAGAGTTGTGGATATTGTCAATACATATTACAGTTTCTGTCTTAAACAAATGTTTATAAGTTAAAATTGCACAGTAAAACAGACACGCACCGGTGCGGTTCAGCCACGCCTTCTGACACAATCCCACGAGCACGAGCGTTGTGAGAACTGTTACGACCATAGACAACTGCTAATCTATTATAGTTATATCAGATAAAGTATCTGTTTTATTTGATATTTTGTTGTGGCCTATTAATTTTGCAATTAACAGTAGGTACTTTAGATTAACTGAGGTACAATACAAATCAAATCAAATCAAAATCTTTATTTCACAACACAGTGGTTTGTAACTAAACAGAGGTTGGGACCATCCTATTAAGTAATAATAATACTTGTGTCAGGTGGCCACGCTCTTCCTTACTTTACTAAATATCTTTAAATGTGTTTGTGAAGACAATTTGGAAAAACTAAATACTTTGTAACTATTTGTTTACATTTGTATGTGTTCAAGTGATATAAATCCAAATCTTTGTTTAGCCTATTGTAGAGAAGCAAAAAACGCTGAGCAAATTTAGTTTTTATGTATCTAGTTACTGCTACTCTATCTTTTCTTCTTCTCGTCATTATTTCTGAGTTAAAAGGCAAAGATTTGTGTGTCCGTAAAATATATATCTGTCTTATTGAAAGAAGCTCAATCAACTTGTAAAGTTCTTCAGCTGGAAAACGAAATGGTTTAAAATACATTACTTTGAGTAGACAACGCTGACTTCTTTCGATTTCTAATAATTTTGTTTTAGCTGCACCTCCCCAGACTGAGTTACAGTACCCTATTATGGATTGTGCCAATGCAATATATATTTGATTTAGTATTTTTTTAGAGGTGACATGTCTTAGTTTCCTAAATATCCAAATTATTTTCCGTATCCTATTACTCGTATATTCAACTTGAGAGTGCCAGTTCAAGTGTTGGTCCAGAACAACCCCCAAATACTTTATAGATGCAACCTTATCGATAACTGTACAACGTACATTTACAGTTAGTACTATTAGAAATACCACAATAATTTATTTTAAACTATTGTTATTATTTTGTTGCTTTCTATTATTAATCGTAAAGCATACATATTTAGTTTTTGCAATATTTAAGGAAAGAAGGTTACTCTGGAGCCATTTTGAAACTATTAATGGACCAGATTCAGCATTTCTAAATACCGAGTTCCAATTCTTTCCCGTAAAAACTATTGCGGTGTCATCGGCATAAGAAAATACTCGACCGTCGAATAAATTTAGGTTAGTTAATGTATTGATATAAATAAGGAACAATGTAGGACCTAGTACACTTCCCTGTGGAACACCAAAGGTAAGCGGTGATTCTTCACTAATGTAGTCACCTATTTTTACTTGTTGCTTACGTTCCCTCAGGTAATCCTTGAATAAATTCAGCGGGATGCCCCTTACACCGATTGCTTCCAATTTCCGCACAAGGATCGAAGAAGAAACAGTGTCAAAGGCTTTCTTAAGGTCCAAAAATATAGCCAAACATTTACGGCCTTGATCTAGTTGTTCAGTTATATGAGATGTTAGTGCCACAACTACATCTTCTGTCGACTTCCGCGTCTAAACCCAAATTGGTTATCTGAAAGAAGATTAAAGCTTTCAAGGTAATTGATAAGTCGTTTATTTATTAACTTTTCTATTATTTTAGAAACGGCAGGCAAAACTGAAATGGGCTTGTAGTTATTGACATCATCTACTCCTCCACCCTTGTGCAATGGAATCACTAAAGGATTTTTGAGATAAGACGGAAAAATACCCTTTTGGAAGCAGAGATTAGTCAAATGACTTATCACGGGAACTACGAGGGATTTAGAATACTTGAGAAACTGAGTAGAGATATTATCCCAGCCAGGTGCACCATTTGACTTAAGATCTGACAAGATATTTTCAATTTCTAGTGGATCAGTATCTAATAAGGCAAATGATGATGAATGTGATTTAAGCCTATGTAGGCTGTCAGGTCCGGGAGAGGTGTCGTATTTTTTGGATATCCTCAGCAAGCTTTCTGCCGATGTTTGAAAAATATTCGTTAACGTAGTTAACTGAATCATAGGGATTTAATTTAATATTTAGTAAATCAGAATTTATGGTCTTATTAGGTTTTAGATTTGTTATTTCTTTAATTGTTTTCCAAAGTATTTTTGAATTCTTATTTGCTTTATTTAATTGTTCTCTCTCAAATTTTCTTTTAAGTTTTTTTAGTAGGTTGTGACAGAAATTTCTGTATCTTTTATAGGTAGTTACTAAAATTACATTGTGAGGATCCGAACGCAGTTGCATTTGCATTTTATTTCTATTTCTAATGCACCTTAAAACACCAGGTGTAATCCAAGGTTTTATGGTGCGTTGTGATTTTGGCTTTCTTTTTGTAATTTTACTCTCTGTTAAGGATTCAGATAAGCTTTTTATAAGTTTTTCGGCAACTACATTCGGGTCGTCACAAAATAATAATGTAGAGATATTCTTCTGCATTAATATTGAGAGCGCTCTTTCGTAGTCTACAAATTCTACTGTTTTCGATACATTTTGCTTTTGTTTTATTTTACTTAATTTCAAAAAAATTGTTGTATGATCAGTCTCGTAGATTGCATATCGAAGAAAATTTTCTTTTGCCTAATTTTAACATAAAATGGTCTAAACAGCTAGCGCCTCTAGTCGGTAGAGAGTGACCAGGTAGCAATCCGTGAGTTGACAACATATTCAAATAATTATCCCTATTATTAGTTTCCTTCGATCCTTCGTTTTGCTTAGGAATTAGGTTTATATTAATATCACCCGTTATTATTATGTTACGACATGACTTTATTGTGTCCAAGTAAGCACTAATAGAGTCGATAAAGTTTGTCGCATTTGGATTCGACGGAGAACGATAAATACATAAAATTGTATGGTCAAAAAATTTATATGTATACAGGAAGCATGATCCAATGTCACCTCTTTCATAGTTGTCTTAAGATTATTTTTGACATAAACCACTACACCATCATTTTGATTTAGATAAAATTTTGTTGCAAGTGATGTATAGTTAGATAAATGGGGTAGCAGTCTGTCTAAGCTAAGTCTACACTCGGTTAACATAAGAACATCAACTTCAAAATTAAGGTGCGATAGTGTAGATTCAAAGCCATCAATATTTTTGTAAATACTACGAATATTCTGGCATATTAAGGTTAGGTCATTTTTGAAAACATTTATATATTTAGTTAAATCCTGTATATCACATTGAATAGAGTTCTCTATTTTTGAATCGTCCATGTCTTGTATAGTAGAAAATGTACTGTTCATTCTACTTTTATAAAATAATAAAATGCATTAGCAATTTCGTTAAAGAATTAAGAAGTAAGAAGATAAGTAAGTAAGTAAGTAAGTAATTTTGCGAAGTGATTAGCTCGATCTGTATATATAAAAAGATTAAAATAAAAGTTGTTATTTATGTATAATAGCAACGTAATGTGCAGGTGGGTACGGTGACAGAAGAACCTAAGAGAAGTAGAAATAGTTACAGTAGTCTGAGTAATCTCGAACTGTTTGTTAAGATATGACTGTGTTATATTACTGGAAGATGAATGTGTGAAAGTGTGTCTGAGTGATTGCTTTTTTACATTTGTGTGGTGAATTACAACAATTAAAAACAAAAAATAAATATACGAAAACACGATAGAGCTTACTCTAATATCTAATATAAACGAAGAGATTGCATGTATATTGTAGAACGGCTTTTAGTCAGATGTCTTTCTTCAGCTGCTGGATTTGCGATTCATTTTAATTAGTATTATTTTGGAGTTATCGTCTTTTCTAAAATAAACCTTACCGTAAGATGTCCAACAGAATTTATACGAATGTGTCTTGCTAAGGTCGCGTGCAAGAAAATAGGGTCGTGCAGCCTTATCTGTTAACTGCTCTGATACAAAGATAGGATTATTTTCTACAGCTGAAGACTTAAGTCCTAAATGATGAGTACTGAGTTTTGATTTGTTTTTTTTTTTTGTTGAAAACCTTACATTTTTTCAAAAAATCATTTTTTTTTTGTATTGTAGATGATGTCTCCACAATGATAGGAGTGTTCTTAATATCTTCTCTTTTTCCACGGACTCTATACACATCCTTAATATCTGAACTCAACATTTGGCAGCCGATAGTGTTGGATAGACTTAAAACCATTTCAATAAGGTTTGTTTTACTCTCGTCGTTCTTTCTTGGGACGTTCTTGATTTCCAAATTTGTTTTACGTCTATCTTTTTGCATGTCCTCTATTTTGTCTTCCAAAACAGCTATATAGTTCCTGTCCTCCTTAATTTTTCCTTCTAGCTTAGAGATCCTTTCTTGAAATTCCTTATTTTGTTCTGTCAAAAAAGTAATAAAATTTTCGATATTTTGGTTAGTTTTTTCGATTTCTTTGAGAATGCTTGCATTTTTTTGAAATTCAAGATTTTGAGAATTCATAAGCGATACGAACGTGTTTTTCATTTCTTCTTTGAAATTAGCCAATTCCGAAGTGTAATCTTCATCTCTTATTCTCTTTTTCCGGGCAGTTAAAAAGTTAGGTGGGGTTGTTTGATGTGCAATTTCCACTTCTGTATCTGACGATTTATTCATGGTATCCATTTGCTCACGATTAGGAGACTGTAAGTGAATAGGAGTTAGTTATACTCTTCAATACGTAGTCGCAAAATGGTGCAAAAGAACAGTGCGGTAGCAATGTTCTATGGCAAGCAAGCGGTGGAGTCACGTTTGAGTGGGTTGGACTATAACGCCAAAATGGCCGAAAAGTGCGCATGCAGATAGGCTAAGCGCATACGCAGGTAGGTCGATGACGACATAAAGTATGTCCGCAGAAGGGGGATGCGTACTAGGCAATCAGAATATACGGTTTGACTCACAGTTTTGCTCACCACCACCGCTTTCTACACTCCTATTTTTTTTCTCGAATTATCAACACTGATTTAATTATTTAAAATTGAAAATGTAATTGACTTAAGTTTTACAAACGAGTACACCTTGCGGCGGTCCAGGACGAAGAGGAATACAGTTTAACATTACATGGATATTCAGTGAACACGAGCCGTAAAGTGTTACCAGAATTGAAATTAACTCATTTAAGCGTGATTGTGGGTGCAGGTTACCAGGTGGACGCGTGAACTTCGAGAAGTGTTCGGTGTTGGCGCGGCACGTGAGTGCTCAGCTGGCGGCGCGACACCTGGCCGAACCGCACCCCGCCGCCGTCCCCCACCCCACACCAACACCCGGACCCCACCCCGCGCCTACGCACCTGCCCGCCTGGCGCTTCCTCTCTGACCGACCAGCGCTCTCAGAGACAGGTAAGTGTATCACTAACAGCAGAGTTATACAAAATGGCTTCACGATCGTATACACTTTAGTTATTGCCTTCGACATCCACGTTATAAAGCCATACTGCATTATGACTATAGCATAAATGGGTCTGCTCGACCAGGATAGGAATACGGTCTCAAAGAACACCAGCATAAAATAGCAGCTGAATTGCTGCTGTGTTTCTAATGGTTAGTGTAGAGATGCGGAGTTAGTTTTTACTAAAAACAATGCATTCCATGTTAGTCCTCAGGGTTGACAACGTATCTGCATTATGATTTTTAATTCAGGATAAATGTAAATGTCTGCGCTGCTACATCCACTTACCATCACACGTATTCTGTTCTATAAAAAATATAATTTTACATTGTGAAGCTGGAACCTGCACAATACAGTGTATACAATACTAAAATCTCCAACGTCAACATGAAATAATTTCATTATTTTAGTTCTACTAGATCGGCTCTTACTTTTTGATAAAAGTTATTAATTTCCGCTTTCAGGTGGACATAGAAATATCACAATCTCAATGTTGTCTAAATAGTTACATTATAAACTTATCCCTCATTTTCCACTCTAGAAGGTGGAAATTATATAAGACGATCACCTTAAAAGTATAACCTAATTAATTTAAATAAAAATCAGTTCACAACTAATGTCCATATCGCTTAATAGACATACAATTTTTTTTTAAAAAACATGCAGTCGTATTGTACACTTCCGCATTTATTTGAAATCGGCTAAAAATGAACGGTACATCGGAATATTAAATCAGGTAACTAATCGTACTTTTCGTATATTTTCACTTTTCTATAGTGTTACTACCGTAGATAGTCATCGGAACTAACTTTTACGCTAGGTTGCCCCTTTTATTCCATACGGTCGATCTAACAGAGATCTCTAACATTAATATTGTTTCAGCGTTGGAGCTGGTGTCGTTCGAGCGAGAGCCGCCCGTTGATCACTTGGAGAAGGAACGCCTCAAGCGTCTGAAAGGAGCGGCTCCCTAACTCATGCCTCCTGTGTTGCGATACTTTTTACGTCTGTTTCATAACTTATAACTTACTACTGAGGACTGTTACGACACACTGAACTGATCCAATTTCAACTTGACATGTGGACAATACGTCACTAATATGTTCGCATCCGCCATATAACGTTCATAGGTTAATTATATGTGAGCAAGAGCACTAGCAATGCACATTGATAGTGTCCTTGCAGATCACTCCGAGTGAATTTGAATTCTGATGCAACCTGATAGCTCGCGTTCACTAAACACCCGTGTAACTTTAAAACTATAATATCCCAGTTTTTCTAAACTAGTTAGTCCATAGCAGTTAGTTTAAACTGTACGTCCTATTTGGTGTAAACCGGTTAATTTAAATTGTACTGTCCCAGTTAGTCTATAGTGGTGTTAGTTGCAAAATGAATAGGCGAAAATTAAATACTAAATCTTAGAGAGAGTCGTATACTATTTTGAATGTTTGCAGTGGACGGAGCTCATTAAGATGCGATGTAATGAAAATAATAAATTAGCAGTTGTCTGTTGTCGTGACAGTTCTCAAAACTCGTGTGATTTACGTCAGAGGGCGTGGCTGAGCCGCACCGGTACGTGTCTAAATGTTTTGCTGTGCAAATTTAACTTATTTAAAAAAAACTGTAAACAAGGTATGTAATGAGGATATCCGCAAGTCTTTCGGCCACCAGGGCGGCGTCACTTTGGATTTGGAATGCGGTGAACATTTGACAGATTTCGTGGCGGGGGAAGTTAATTTGTTATAAAAGTGTACAGATTGATTGTTCCTTTCTTTTAAATATTCGTTATATTTTATATTAATTTGATTATTAATGAATAATTCAAACTACGAATATATCTCAAAGTTTAAAATGTGCACTGAGACATCGTTTTGCGTGTAGTATACAGAGTATACATACACTAGAAAGGAAAACTTAGAAAACTTTTTATCATGAAGGTTAGAGAACAGGAGAACGATCGCCGTAGAAAATAGTGTCCAGAAATATGGACACCATAAGTACGGCGCTGTGATCGCTAAGTTCGGTCAATAAATTTGAGGATCGGCCAATTTTGAGTCTATTTTTCCGATCAGATGCTAAACCACTTGCACATCCACGCACAATAAAATATTTCTCCATTTTTTAACCTTTCTTTTCGTCAAAAATTACAAAATTACGGAGTACGAAAATGTTCTCATTAAAAAAGAAATGAAAATTTGTACATTATTCAACTAACTTCATCTACTTGTACTCATAAACAGCTAACTTCGCAGTCACTACTCACTGACGTCAGCGCCGCTACACATTCTACAATTTTCAAGGACAGGCGGGCTATGCTTTAGTACGTAGTGATCGTTCTCCTGTTCTCTAACCTTCATGCTTTTTATTTAATATGAAGCCCTGAATGATGACGACATTGTGTGACCAATTGTGTAACAAATATGTTCACCTCAGTCCGAACTGGCGACATCTGGTGACCGTAAGATTATAAGCCCTCATTAGGATGCAGGACCCACAGGTATTTTTCATTCATTGGTTTAATATAATTTCATTAAACCCGTTGTGAAACATCTATGGCGAATCTCCTCGGTCACCGATGTACGGTCTACTGACGAAGTTTCTTAAGGAACAAATTATATTATATGATTATTGTGGACCGAGCGTTTTGATATACTGACAAACGAACGCTAAATGTAATAAATATGTTTATATGCTTAATGTTTTAAAAATAATTCAACCGCTCGGTTTTTGAAGGTGACTTCTGCGTCGGTTGTTAACGACGAGAGTAGGCATGTGTTAATCGTGAAGAATTCGTTCATTTGACCCGGTTCGATATTTATGATTGTAATCACATTGTTTAACGATCCGGGTCAAGCCATCGACACGACCTATATATTTATTGGCTGTTTGCACGAATTCTAAATGTGTTTCGCGATTGGGCTTAGTGAAGAAGAAAACTACTTAAATCGAAACGATCCATTTGAATGATCGACCCGAATGACCCGGAACGAATCAATATTTGAACGATCGGGTCACTAGAATTAAACGATTGTCACATGCCTCGTGAGTTAGCAAGCTTATATTCAGTTGCCTTCTGTAGCCGAGTACTATGCTTAGTGGTATATTTGATAATATTTATTAAGTATGTTGTAATTATTGAGTTGCCTTACGTTTGCTTTGGCAAAGCCTTACTTGATGCAACTCGGACGTTACGGGCTCGCGCGCTGTTCTGGAGCCCGCTATTTCACCTCAGTATTGTTGTTGTGCAGTGACAGACGCCATAAAGATGAATCTCGAACGGAATCTGCGACATTTTGTTGTATCCTAGTAACCATGATCTCATAAAAGGTTGAATAAATTGTGTGTGAGTGTTCGTATGTTTGCGATGTACGAGTATGGTGCAAGCGCTAACTATATTCTGTTTATCAGTGAGTAATGTATGTTTTGATATTTATTAATTTTAATTTTGTGCAGTTTAACTTGAAAATCTCACGTCACAAAATCGAGAATTACGTATGATGCGTTTTTTTTTATTAAGCTTTAAAATGTTTCAGCTAGTCATGCCATACATTTATATAGGGTATGTTCCAAAATAGAACCCAGTGTTCCAATGCAAATGACGTCATAAATTTGCGCCATATTGGAAAAGTGTTGACTATTTTTTTGTCATTTTGTGCTCCAAAAATCATTATATCCTCCTAATGGAGATACCAGCAATTCTATAATTTTTTGTACTTGAATAAATTAAAACAAATTCTGGCATGCTTCATTCAGTGCACACACAATTAAAAAATGTTTTAATATGGCCGGATATCCTACACAATATGGCGGCGGCACGCCAGTACAATATGACCCAAATTTAACTCTTTGGATCATATAAAACTTCTCATGAAATACAAAACTTCATATACTAAAACTATATTGCACAAAACAACTTATAAAATAAATTACTTTCCCAATATTGTCAATTGATGACGTCATTGTATTCGGCTTTCGGCAGTATACTGAAAACGTTTCGGGACATACCCGTAGTTCTTTGCCTACAGATCGAGGTATCAATTTGATGGATCTCTGTTTCTTGAATTTTAAATTTTGTAATACTCAGCAATCATGATGTTAAATATTTTTTATATTTTCGAAAATATAACTAGGCATATAATATATTCCGTGCATTTCATGACCTGAAATGTGTCATAACTCCATTTTAGCTGTGAAATTTGTTTTAAGATTATGTTACAGTTAGTTGAGGGGCTATTTATAGACAATCTCGACTTTAAACTAAAACTTTACAACCAATATTTGTAGTAGGTATTACAAAGACTTTTACGTATACTTACTAGTCGGGCTGTTCGGACTTAATTCTTTGCGCTCAATTCCCCGTAACTTCTGTAGTCGACTACGGGCGACCGAGGAGACTATCATATATTGTATATTGTAGTTCTTTGTTCTGTTAACTGCGAAAGAGTGATTTCAACGATCTAACACTGATTTTGTTTAATGTGTCAACGTGACTTGAGGTTTATTTTAGATAATAATAATGTCCTCCAGACCGAATTTCGGCCGAACCTCAACGGTGACTAGCCATCGCCGCAGGACGGGATTATAGTGCCCAAGTGTATGCGCAAGCACAGGTGCACTCTCTATTCTCTCACACTCATAGTCTAATGGGACGGTAAACCAACACGACCGAAGAGAGATCAGGCGCAGGACCAACGGTTTTACGTGCTTTCCGAGACACGCACGGGGGTGAGACATCGCCAACTTCGTGTCTCCGGCCAGCTACTGAGAATTTCTTGACGGAAAAATTCAATAATTGATTTTTTGTCTTGACCCGGGATTCGAACCCAGGACCTCATGATCGGCAGTCACACTACTACAACCACTAGACCAACGAGGCAGTCAATTTTAGATGAGTATGTATGTGTATATTTCGTATTTGCCTGAACACTGACTGTCGTAAATAAAATAATACAACTGCGTGGCACAGTTACCGTGCCGGCTACGTGCTACGTGCCCAGTATACGTGACACAGTATTGTTCTGAATTTCCGGTCTAGTGTTGTACAGAAAAGTCTTTGTACAGGCCAAAATGTCGACGTTGCAAAGTTTGAGTTTGAACTCGAGATTGTCTCTGTATTTCAAAGTTCTCTCATCTTGCTCGGTTAGGTAATGCTAATTTATGAATTATACACTTTTATATAATTTATTATTGAACAACTGTTTTAAACTTGAGTGATTACAAATCTACTTTTAGTCTAAGATCCGGCTACAAGATTATTATGTAAAGAACTTGGAAATGTAGGCTTGCTATAGCGCACTTGGCCGCAACCTCAACCAGGTGTAATCAGGTAAACTTTGTTACTGTTATACGTTCATGTCTCATATTCATTATTTATATATGAAATTAAAGCAAATTTTTTCTGAGCACGATGGAATACGGCAGCGTAAGTGGCCGCAGATAAGGTTAATTAGCTGTTAAAAATAGATTTAAGTGAAAGAGAATTAAATACTAAAACACTTATACATTAAAATTAGATTTTGATTAAAAACTACACGAACGTAGTAAACTTGCAGCCGGATCCCGTACTATTTGGCGCGTACTTAATTCAACGTGAAAGTATTTATTTAGAACTAAGAATTAATAAAACTTAAGTTAGGTACTTCATGGTCTTTGCCATGTTTATTTTATGGTTATTTAAACATTCGCACAAATGTTTGTGTGTATGTGCGTGTGTGTCCGTGTGTTTTAGTTTAGTAATATTGCCGGGCGAAATATTATGTGTTTAGTTTTATCTCGCGCTGGGTAAAACGTTCCCGCGAGATGCGAGTGACGAATAAGAACATTCCGAGCAGCTCCCACAGCTAAAATTATTTCGTTCCCCGCCCCGCGTATCCCCACCAACCTAGTACTTAGTTTAACCTATTTATTTCTTGTAATTACTATCTTTTTTGCCGTAAACCTACAAGACAACTTCGTCCTATATAAAATCGTATTAGGCGTTCGAGGCAATTCTCATAAACTATTTTAATATTAGGTAAGTTATTTTTAGTGAGGTAACGTGGCGTTTGACTCAGGAAGATGCCATAAATATTTTAAGACAAGTTTTAGTTTTTGTACAAAACATGTAACGTGTAACTTAAACATACATTCCAAGCATCAGACTGAAAGTGTGTGTAACTAGCTCCTCAGTAAAGAACCGAGTCGACTCAGCCTCCGGCCACCGTTGCAGTATATCATTTTGTAAGATTTTTTTATAACACTGTGTAAACACTTTTAAAACAATTGTTTAAACCTGTGCGCGTCTTAAATGCGATTTGATAACTGTGAAATTGTGTCACTTGCATTCCTTTGCTGAGGAAGCTGCTTTAAAAACAGTATTTGGCATATTGCTTTAATAATATATTATTTATTTTACCGTTTATTATACAAATGTTAAGAGGTGCGAATGTAAAAGTGCAAGAATGATTAATTGTGCGTGATAGAATAGGTACTACGTACACACATATATACCTATACAAATGTCGATTGTGCAATGTGTGAACTTTTTAAGTATTAAATCAAGTTTATAGTTCAAATCAAGTTCCATAAATTCATTGTATTGACTGCCTACCGAATGCCTTTCGGCTTGCTACCATTATGTTATAAAAGTACGGTAATCAACTAGATTGCGTATTTGTTATATTATTTTGGGAATATTTTATATTTACTTTACTGTGTTCCATGATTTTATAACGTAAGAAATATTCGGCCAATGTATGTATATCCTCTGCCCCCGGACCGCAGTCAAGTGCAGATGTTCTAACTATTATTGTTTATAATAAATTAAAATCGTATATTACCTATACCCATTCTATCATGAGCATGTCAGTTCTGCGAACTGGCCTCTAAGCCATTCTAAGTATTAATGCGTTGTGTATTTGAGATATATTTAAGTAAAGAGATGCACTTGTCTTGATCTCGGTCATAGATATAAAGTGAAAGTATTTATTGTGAGTATTGGTATTACATGAATGTTCGAGATGCGCGCGTGGACGCTGGACATCTCCTGCTAGTCGCACGAGATGCGCGCGCGCTGTATCCTCTCATTTCATATCTTAGCCATGAATTACAATTGAAGTTTGAAAATATTCATTTTATAGCTAAGAATTAATCTTGTTGTAAAGTAATCGGTTTCATAACTTATAAATGAATTTACTCGTTATAGATTGGTCGATTTAGAGAATGTAATATTAAATGTTTAAATTGATTGGTCAGTGTTCAAAGCATTAAATGACATTATAAGTGTAATTGATACAAATGGAATTATCATTCGATTGGTTCGACTATGTACTTGAAGTATCTAACACTTTCTATATGAATTAGGCAAAATGCGTTTGTGTAAAGAATATTATCCACGTTTCTGTCAGTGTATATCTGTATGTCGAATTATATACCAGTGATTCCAATGAGCACAGGTGGTTCCAGTGCGACACATACCAATTGTGTTAGTATTTATATGCAAATGTTATATACTCCACCTCACCTATTAATGTGATCAATATAATTATTATATTTAAAACGATATATGAATGTACCTAAATTCAAATAAATAAATGGTATCAATTCTCTATTTGTTTTTTAATGATAATTTCACATTTATGTCTGACTTACGTGGTAGAGCCACGCTGCAGCTGTATTGTGATTGTAGCACGAATGAGTGCTCGATCGGGGTAGGTCCACGCTCTCACAGAATACCAAGATTAAATAGCAGCTTAACGCTGAGCTATGTTTCTTATGGTGAGTGTAGAGGAACGAAGACCTTTTTTAACGGAAACGAAGCATTCAATCTCTGTCCTCAAGTGTGACAGCGCATCTGCATTTAGATTCTTAATTAGAGATGGGCCGAATTTGGATTTCACCGAATACGAATATTCGGCCGAATGTTCGGTAAAATTTTTACCGAACGGAATATTCGGCCGAACATTATTCGGCAGCTTCACCTCGGTACCCAACTAATTTATGTCGAAATTTAAATTCGTACCCTTCCTCGCCACACCTGACATGTTATTGCATCATCTAGTACTGAGGAAGTTGCCGGCACATGTCTATGTTTTGACTAATTTCGTAAGAAAAAAAATTTCGATGTATTATTCTTAGCGAAAATTTATAATTATTATATGATAAAAATGAGTGGCAGGAGATCTACTGTTTGGCCTTATTTTAGAGAAATTGACGACCAAAGTAAAGTGAAATGTACTAATGTAATGTAAGTAATGTTTCTTTGTTTGATTTCAAAAATATTTTATCAAGCATTCTATGTGCTATAGATAGAAATAAATCCACAGTGCCTCAAAAACAACGCTATACAAGTAGCGTAAGTATACTACCTACTTGTATACAAGTACAAGCTTGTTTACAAATACGTAAATAAAATATACTTTCAACAATAAAATTATGAAAGACATTCAATATAGTGGATATTCAGTACCACTTTAACGAATGTTCGGTGATTTAGCCAAATATTCGGCCGAATACGAATATTCGGTAAAGCTGCTGAATATCGAATATGAAACGAATATTCGGCCCATCCCTATTCCTAATTGAGGATTAATGTAGATGTCTATGGACCACAGCATCCACTCACCATCAAGTGAATTGTGTGCTCTTTTGTCACCATATTCTATAAAAAGAAACGAAAAATAACTACATAATCATTTACTGTAAAATCATTTTATTAATATTAAGAATGAAACTAAGCTTAACATAGCGAATCTCTAGGCGCACAAACGGTCATATCAGTCCATCCCAACGACGCGGTAAATTTATGAATACAATTACTAAATATCCTACGCTCGGAATCTTCAGGAGTCACTTTTTTTGCTGTGTCTCATAATACGGAGTAATAACTATATCTAATAATCTAATTACATATTACTACTTTTCGTCATAATTATTAATAGGCGACAGTCATGCAGAATACTAATTTAATATATGTGCGTGTATATACTAAAGTAAATCATATAAATACTATTTAAATTTAACATCTTATCGGTGACCCGTCAGGATTTGTAGGTATTTTTGGCCTGCAAACTTTTTTCCTGCCTTCTGCGCCGCTGACCATCGTGCAGGTGAACGTGAAAAAACCGCATGAAGAGGACTTGGTGTAGTATGAGTGCGAGTACTGCTTGCGCACGTTGTTCTCGGCGTCCAGGTCGCGCGTCACCGATTTAGATAAAGTCACGTAAGGACTGTGCGGCTTCGACTGCAGCGACCTCAACTTACCCGGATCCACGTGCCTGCCATAGCTCGATGGATAAGTATACCTTACTTTCCCAGTTCCTGGCGTCAACGTCACAGTCTGCGCTTGGGATGGGGACTCCTTCGAACCAACTACGTAAGTTTTCTCTTTCGAAGCAACCGATTTGACACTGCCGGTGAAGCCAGCAGGTATCGTGTAGCCACCTGTTCCCGGAACTCTTTCTCCCGGTTGATATGTTTTGCTTTCATCGGGTCGCTCGGAGTTCCTTTGTGTAATTTCCGCGTCCTGGTTGTTCAAAGAACCAAGTACGATGTGCTGAGTGTTGCTCCCGGTCGTCTGCCTCACGTCGAGGGTTTTTCGTGGACTTTGGAGAGGCTGATGTGTCAAATTGTCCCGTGTGATCTCATCGTAGTTAGAATATTCACCTTGCTCCACCTCCGAACCGTCGGCGTCATATTCGTCCGGCGGGACGTCCTCTCTATCAGTGGTGTATTCGTACTCAGCTCCACTGTTACCGTACGAAGATTGGAAGGAACGGGTGCCCCCAACCGGTGCGGGTGAGGACGCCGCTTCATCGTTTGTTCTATGGTGATCTAAGTGTGTATGACTGGAATATCGGCTTTCGGATTTTTTTAAAGATTCTTCGCTTTTTTTATTTTCTTCACCTGGCTCTAACTCCGTTACGCTGCTTTCAGTTGGAACATCGTCATCTGACGGCAATGACTCCTCTGACGGGATTGATTCAAGCGATGGTTCCAAAGTAGATGCATCTATGTCTGTTGATTTTTCGACATCAACATTAATATTCTTTTCATTTTCGTCAAATACATCAATTTTATCGAACGACAGTCTGTTTGGGAATACTGCATCTTTGTCTACGCTCGCCCCGGCTTGTGCCGCTCCGTTATAGCTAATGCCGTACTTAAAGGTGCCGTGCAGTTGCGACTGAGACTGACCCGTGCGACCGCTTGACTGAGCTGATGCTACACCTCCTCCAACGAATGGTATCTTTTGCAAATCATGAGCCTTGTCTCCGTCTTTATATGGCGTAAAACCAATTTGAGCTTGCGATGAAGTGCTACCTGGTCCACGAGCTTGGGCGTCTGCCATGCCACCTTTGATACTGCCTTGAACTTGAGAATTAGATGAGTGATACGCGCCGTTTGTTAATGACTGCGTTTGAACCGATCCTGTTTCCGACCCGAGTTGAACATTGGCCTGTGATTTATTATTTCGACCACTTCCTTGTGCTGAACTAGATGCTCCTTTTTTCCCTCCGGTTACTTCACTTTCTGCTTCCTTATTTTCGCCTGTTATGAGGGCTTGTGCAGAAAAAGAACCGCTACCGGTATATGTGCCTTGAACATGAGTTTGTGCACGGCCCTTGTCGTTGCCTCCTCTTGAGGATGCATTAGCCGTTGTTCCGTTAGCAGCTTGGGAAACACTGGCTTCTGCCTCAGAATCGTCTCCGTCTGCCAAGTTGTTAGGATCCGTAAAGTTTTGTGGAACACCTAAAAGTAAATAAGTCGGGTTACTTCTTTATTAATTACAATTTTTTTAATAAATAACATTACACTTACTGTTGTATCCGTTGCTTTGCCCCGGGAACTGTAAAAAATAATAATATTAGAATTGTTAAAAAATTAAAGCGTAATTCACTAAATAATATTCAGATATTTACCCTTTGATCGTATCCGATTCCCACCGGTACATTTCCTCCGTATCTGTTCGTATCTGTTCCGTAGAGGGGTTGTCCATTATTCATCTTACTACCTTCCCCAGGACTAATACCTAGTCCGTAGTTGCCACCATCACCAGGACTGGTACCTTGGTTTGGACCACGATTTCCTGTTACACCTATTCCAGCTTGGTTCGTTCCATAAACTCCATCGCCCGTTAGTCCACTACCTTGGACAGGGCTGTAACCCAAGCCCCCGCCTAGATTACTACCTTGACCTGGACTTAAATTACCTACACCCCCTGAAGATCCAGCATTTTGCCCAGGTGCATACTTTCCGATATTTTCTAATCCACTACCTGGACTTAAACCATAACCTCTATCTCCTATTCCTGTAGCATGGGTGGCTCCAATACCTTGATTTGGTTCATAACGTCCAATGCTACCTGGACCGGCACTCTGTCCTAAATTACTGCCACTACTTGGTCCACCGACTAGACCGCTGCCTGGTACACCAAGCTGTCCGTAATTACTGCCACTCCCTGGTCCACCACCCTGTCCATAACCACTGGCACTGCCTAGTCCTCCGCCTGGACCTTTGCCCATAACTTCCACTACTGCCTGGCCCACCACCAAAACCGCTGACACTGCCTAGTCCTCCACTTGGATTTTGCCCATAACTTCCACTACTGCCTGGTCCACCACCCTGTCTAAAACCATTACCACTGCCTGGCCCATTACCCTGTCCAAAACCACTGCCCCCACTTGGTCCACCACCCTGTCCATAACCACTGGCACTGCCTAGTCCTACGCCTGGATTTTGCCCATGACTTCCACCAGTGGCTGGTCCGCTACCTTGTCCATAACTGCTACCACTGTCCGGTCCACTACTCTGCCCAAAACCACTCCCACTGCCTGGTTCACTAACTTGTCCGTAACTGCTACCACTGCCCGGTCCACTACCCTGCCCAAAACCACTCCCACTGCCTGGTGCACCACTCTGTCCATAACTACTGGCACTACCTAGCCCTCCACCTGGTCTTTGTCCGTAATTTACACTGCTGTCTGGCACACTACCTTGTCCATAACTACTACCACTGCCCGGTCCATTACTCTGTCCAAAACCACTGCCACTGCCTGGTCCTCCACCTGGACCTTGTCCGTAATTTACACTGCTGCCAGGCCCACTACCTTGTCCATAACTGTTGCCACTGCCCGGTCTATTACTCTGTCCAAAACCACTGCCACTGCCTGGTTCTCCACCTGGACTTTGTCCGTAATTTACACTGCTGTCTGATCCACCACCTAGTCCAAAACCGCTTCGGGCTGGTAAATTAATTTGACCAGGATTATAACTTCCTGTATTTGTCCCTGTTCCTGGAGCAAATTCTCCGCCACTTGGTCCAATACCACTACCAGGTCCAATATTTAATGGAGTACCTGATATTACCCCTGGTCCTGGTTGAAAGGTTTCCACACTTCCCACTCTACCTTGGTCAGGCATGTATGTGCGCCCATCGCTTGGACCTCCACTATGGACCGTCCCATAACCTGCATGCCCAGATGGAACATCAACTAAGGCAGGCCGGTAGTTTGCACCTGTATTGGTCCTTCCATCTCGTCCAGGTACGTAACTTCCTCCACTGGCAGTTCCTACTTGACTAGGGCTATAACTTCTACTGTCACCTGATCCAACACCTTGGCCTGGCACCAAACTTCCACCAGCAACTGGTTGATGACCAGCTCCATAAATATTATTGCCGCCAGGTGGAAGTACAGGCCTTGTTTCGTAATTACCTCCACCGTAGTTTCCAGTGCTTGTTGGTCCACCTTGATAATAACTAGTGCCTCTATTGATCCCATTGGCAGGACCACCAGATCCAAATCCTTCTTGTTTTCGAAGAGTATCACCTCTTCCAACATTCTGATCAAGACCAATACTTTGGCTGGGTCCATATACTTGGCCACTTAGTGGACGGTTTTTTTCGGAAACTATGCCTTCTCTCCCGTAATCGTATGGACCATTAATTTGAGGATATTGACCGCTTACACCAGGGCCTCTGTTATACACTGATGCTCCGGTTGGAATCAAATTACCATCGGGGCCAACTACGCAACATAAATAATTAGGGCTTCCAGAGCCAGTATATGTGCCTTGTGGCCAGTTTCTGACTTGACTTGGACCCAACTGCTTACCTCCAGAGGTTATCTGGTCAGGATTATAACGTCCTATTGGGGCAACACCTAAATTTGTCATAGCCCCACCTTGAGGAACACTAATAACACCAGGTCCAGTTACAGCGAGTCCGTTTGGAGTTCCATCAGGGGGAGGAATATATATACCGCCATTAGGCCCTTGCATCCCTGGAATAAAGTTACCGGGACTTCTGTTCAAAGTATTACCAGGGTCTGGAGGGTAGACACCATTCTGACCAGGCCCATAGGTTGCTATTGGTTGCATTTGACTGTATATTCTGCCTGGTGAACCAACTTGATTTGGACTCAAACCATCACCACCAAAAGTTCCTAATTGTTCAGGGCTAGTTCCTGTTAAACCAGGAGGATTCCTAAGATTTCCAGGCATATAGTTTTTGTTTCCTAGACTGCTCCCTTGTCCTGGTGTGTAGCCTCCAGAAACACCACTTTGAGTTGGCCCATAATTATCACCAATTGCATTACCATCCGGTCTTTTATCACCTCCCTGTCCACTTCCATGGCTTGAACCGTATCCTCCATTTCCTTGCTGATCAGGAACATAACTAACAGGACTACCTAGACCACCTGCCTTACCAGTACGATCTGGCTGTAAAGTGTTCCTTGAACCAACTAGACCTGGACCGATCCTTTCTGTACCACCGCTTGGTCCATAACCTCCATTTCTACCGGGTGTAAGATCCACTCCTGATGCCTTACCGGGCTCATAATAATTGCTTGGTCCTGGTTTACCAAAATTTTGTACGCCAGTTTGTGCTGGCCCATATCCACCCAAACCTGGGCCTCCATTTTGATCTTTTCCATATATACCAGCTCCAGGAATTCCTCTGTTTCCGGAAAGTTCAGTCCACCCAGGCCCTGCGTTTTGGACGTGGCCGTATCCTCCATTACCGTTTTCAATGGATCCGTAGGGTCCCTTTTTAAAGTTTGCTGCTGCAGGGTCCGATCTTCCGTAGCAGTCATCACAGGTAGGTTCGTACATCGACTGACTCTGTGCTTGTCCCATTCCACTGTTACCGCCTGCAAATTTTATCATAATATATGTAATAATAATATCTACCAAGAGCATTTCGCTTACAAATTCTTTCAATAACCTATGTGTCGTTATTGGTTTAAAAAAAATTAAGTGTGACTAAATATTTATTATCTCCGCTTATCTTTAAAATGCTTTTGAGAAGGAAGCATATAGAATAAAACTATTATTTACGGATTTTATCGCGTTTAATTACTTTAATTTATTTTTATTATTATCCCGACGTTTCGGGTGCTTTACAGCACCCATGGTCACGGGAGGGACTGAGATGTTTGACGTCCCAATGCTACTGTTAGCCCGGCTACCTTCAGTTTTTGTATATTAATATTTGGTCCGATTTACGCAAAACGAACTTACAGTATCTGGAAGTCTTGCAGTGGTATGCTAGGGTTTGGGTTTGGGTTTAATTAGCATACCACTGCAAGACTTCCAGATACTGTAAGTTCGTTTTGCGTAAATCGGACCAAAAAATTAATATACAAAAACTGGAGGTAGCCGGGCTAACAATGACATTGGGACGTCAAACATCTCAGTCCCCCCCCTCAGACCATGGGTGCTGTAAAGCACCCGAAACGTCGAGATAATAATAAAAATAAATTAAAGTAATTAAACGCGATAAAATCCGTAAATAATAGTTTTATTCAATGTGTAGTGTTCGCGTAAAATTTAAGAAATCATTTGAAAGGAAGCATATAATTTGAGCAACGTTAGGCAACGCAAAATATAATCGTGGGCGCGAATCACTCCACGGTCGTGAAGTTTGCCCGTAAACTGTGATCACCCAGGAAAATGTGGCTACTGTCAGGCGACTGATTTAAGGAAACCGGAAACTTATTTACTTAGTAAATTGAGGCCATTTGGGTATTAATAAATAATAATAATTAAAAACGCTCTAACGAGGGCGACACTGACAGTTTTTAGAACAGGCCGTTCGTAAACCATATAATCAAAAAATAAGTTCAAATTTTGAAAATGGAACTTGCTAATATTATTGTGTATGTATTTTATTAATTTGTCATTTGTTTACTATTTGGCGGCAAATTGAAAAATGTCTGTGTCACGTCACCATGAATTTACCGTGAGAAAATTTTCGTACAATGATTTTTTATGATTTTCGATGACATTTAAGTCAACAAGAAAGTTATGATAGACTTCGATTGGCCTTTCACGATGAAGCCCCATCTCGTGCCACTGTTTGCAACTGGTTTAATGAGTTTAAACGTGGTCGCACTAATCTCACCGATGATCTTCGTGAGGGACGGCCTTCTACGGCGACGACCGAAGATAACATCAGTGTTGTGCGGCGTATAAAAGAGACTGACAAAAGAGTGACTTATCAGCAGATTGGGACAAGCTTAGGCATCGGTATGAGTCAGGTGCACATAATCCTCCATGAAAATTTAGCGGTCAGGAAGCTTTGAGCCCGGCGGACACGAATGAGGAGGAGTTCCGGACAAATTCCGAGGAGTTGCCAACTAAAATAAAGAGAGGTTGAAGCGTGGGAAAGAAGATGGTGGCTTCGTACTTTGGAAGGGCAGGTCATTACACAACAATTGTTTCAGAGTGGTACACTAACAATTGTTTGCCACTTATCTTGGAAAAAGTTCGGTAAGAACATTGAACTATTATGTACTACGTACTAGAGGCGACACTGCATTCAGCTACTCTGTTCCACTCAACTGCGGTGCATACACCGCACTTTAATCTAGTCACTCGCTAGGCGCTTATAGAGTTGACACGTGTTGTTTTGATTTAAAAAAAATCTCTTGATAAAAATATGCCGTCGTGTGAACTTAGATATTGCACAAATAATTCAAGAAATGTTAGTAAAAACCAAGGAATTACTTTTCATCGGTTAATAAGATACTTAATCGATAAAAACGTATTATGTATTAATAATAAAACAAATTATTCCTAAGACGCCATCTCGTGTCATGAAATATAGATTATGAAATTGATAAGTTCAGATGTGACATCTGTTGGTACTTAAGTATAGGACAAATATATTATTATACACATTTTTTTTTGTAGAAACATATATAAGTTATTATAATTTGGCAAAATTTTTCATGTTTAAATCTGCTTATTATTCTTTTATTTTATTTTTAGGTTTCCACATCAAAGTCAAAGTGGTATAAATTCGTCCATTTTGAACTCTCGCGTGCCCAGCATTTATGAACGACTTTTATTCCAATTTCAATAAATATATTTGTAATTTAAATGTTATGTTAATAAGTTTTGTCAAACATACATTTAGTATGTTTTGTATATTTCACTTAGATACCTTTTAAAATATTCAGATAAAAATATCATTAAAATGTGATAGTGATATAATATTATGTAATATTATATTAAATAATCAAATATAATAAACAAAATAAATGACAAAATTTAAATATTTTTCTCGATATAATTTACCTATTTAACAATACAATCTACTATTACCCACGGGTCATTCTACCTATGTTTATTCTATGATAAAAAAACAACCGCGCGAACACAGAGTAGCGCACATTTTTTGTTTGCGATAGCTGTTCTAGTACGTAAGTACATATTACTTCAATGGGTAAGAACGACCTCGTAGTAGGATCCTCCTTCACTACAACAACGCCCCGTCGCACACCGCCAAGCAAACAGTTGACTACTTGGCGACGTCATACGTGGAATTACTGGGTCGCCCGCCCTATAGCTCCGACCTCGCACCTTGTGATTTTTATTTATTTCCTAAAAGAAAAGACAACATTTAATGGACGTCAAGGAAGCAGTGGCTGCGTTTCAAAATGCCGTCGAAAAGACGAGTGGGCAAAGTGCTTTTCTCAGTGGTTCCATCGGATGCGATGTATTGATGTAAAATGGACACTGTTTTGAAATGTTTGTTCAGTTTTTGATTTTCTGGGGACTTTCAACGTCAGTCTCGTATTATTATTAAAAGAAAACTATGATGCCGCTGCATTTCTCATAAACTCACCCCAGAACAAAAACGGCAACGAGTTAATTGGTGTAAAAATATGTTGTTTAACGTACGTTCACGGAAGTTCAAATGCTGTGTCACTAGGTCATAGTGACAGACCATGAAATATGGATATATTGTTATATTCCGGGAAGAAAGCAACAGTCTTATTTATGAGTGTACGAAATCAAAAGCAAACCAACAAAAATGAGGCGTGGAAGCGTGATTATTGATATTTTTTCTCGTAGGTGAATCCTGTCTGCACAATCCCACTTGATGAGTGAAAGACAGTTAATGCTGAGTGCTACACCACAATTTTTGACCAATGTCTGAAATATTTTGGGAAAAATGACAAACATGTTGCATCCTATTGCACCGTGGCAGTGCTTCGGCGCACACCGGGACCAAGACAAATCCATTTTTGGCTTCTGAATAGGCGGAGCTCGTGACCCATCTCGCACACAGTTCAAACCTTGCACTAAATGATTTCTTTATTTTTTTTAAATCAAAGATTTGATGAGATTACATTTACGGATTCAGATGAGGCTGATATATGACCATGATAGCGTTCAAGAAGCACTTGAAAAACATAGTTTGAACGAATGTAAGTGAGAATGTGTTTAAAAGCAGTAAATATATTAGTTTGCGTATAAATTGTTTTATTTATGAGTTACGCAAAACGTTCAATGCACCTACCCCACATAAAAGAGATACAAAAAAAGTCAACTTTTTTTTTGCTATTCTACATAAAAAACTAATAACTAACCCTAACACTTTTTCTTCTATCTCTCAGCTTTGATGCAAGACCTATTTGAACATTTTTGAAATGCATTAAATTTTTTTTTCTTTATGGAATTATCACGAGGAAACCTGCATCTAAGAAATTAAGAACATTTCGAAGCGCTTATCGTTTCTATGGGAGCGGCGAATTTTATTCTGCTTCATGTAGAACTGAGAGGACATATGCTTAGCGGTAGGACCTACGCTTTTTTTATAGAATAAGGGTGACAAACGATCACACAGTACACCTCACGATAAGAGGGCATACTGTAGCCCACATTTATCCTCCATTACAAATTAAACTGCTGATGCTTTGTCGCCCTTGAGGACTAGGATGGAATGCCTCGTATCCAGTTAAAAGTATCCGGTTCTCTACATTCACCATACAACGAAACACAGCAGTGTTGAGCTGATATTTTACGCTGGTATTTTGTGAGAGCGTAGTCCGAGCGTAGTCGGTCGAGCCGATCCGTGCTACTACAATAATAAAACTAAGCTTATTAATTAGCTTTGTGTTTTCATTATATTATCTGATTAGTAAAATCTTATATTCAAATGTAAACAAGCACGTATTTTTTTACATACTTTGGAAACTTCTCAAACTGTCTCGCATAAGAAATATTTATTTAGGAATTAGATACTTACTAACGCTAGCCCTAGATGAGTCTGCAGCTGAATGCGCCTCTGCCTTGCCCTCATCCTTGCCACCACGGTCAATTGCCAGGTACTGCGACTGAGTTTGTCCACGATACCTGCCGCGGGGAGGGATCACAGTTTGCCGTCGCACGCGGTATGATTTGACCGCTCTCGAATCAAAGTCCCCATTGTTTAATATTACAATATTGCAGAACGCTCTGATTGGGTCATCGTTTCCCGAACGTGTAATCTGTTACGTCAGAAATAAACAGAATTAGGGATTGCGTCTCCGTGACATCGTTATGTTTTTACTGTTCCACTTTTTATTAGATTATTATTGTGCAACAATACAGGTCAAGGAAATTAGTATAGCCTTGACGAAAGAAGTTATCGACGAAACGGACGGGAGATAAAAATCTGTCTGCTGCAGCGTATGAATGAACCCGTTTATGAACATAATGTCGCAAACGGGACTACCCATGAAATCAATTTTAATTTATTTATTTAAAATCTAAATTGCACATAAAGTGTATAGTTTGCGGAATTGATGTCTGAAGCTATTCTCTACGATTCAACCACGAACCGAACAGAAGAAAACAGAAACTTAAGCAGGTGCTATAAAAACATAACATTATGTATATAAAACATAAAACATGCATAACATACACATAAATACACTTACATAAATTTACATTACTACAAATAACCTAAATAATGTACTCTATTCCTGATAAATAGCGTACGCAATTTTTAAATAATACATACATTTTAAACATACTGACATACGAATGTATACATTATCAACATATATAATACCCATACATTAAGCAGAACCTGAAGTTAGCCACTGGAAGAAGTGACGCAGAAATAGAAGTCGGTTTCCTAATATTTTGAGGTTAATTAATTATCCCAATATCTAAAGGCTTAAAGGAAACTTTTAAAGTGTAAGGGACAAAGAAAGAACAAGCCACAAGTCAGAGGGAGTTCAACGCACGCACACGATACGAAGACCGACTTAAAACTTCAACCAAATGGGAGCAACTTGATAGATGTTATCATAATTAATTAATATTTGTCATCAATTTGATGATGATTAAAAATGAACTATTGTGCAACAATAACTTTTGGAATGGATAAATTACAAACAATTCGCAGGCATATGTTTTTAGTGAAATATTTCCTAATTCATTGTTCTCTTACCATTGCAGCCCATCAATAGTTCAACTCAACCACATGGGAGGGGGGGGATATTTGCCATAGCTGCCACACTCGGCAGGCGGATTAGTAACCGCAGATTTTTAGTTATTGATAAGTAAACGCTGCATACAATCTGATTCAGTTTGTTCCAGTCAGGTAGTTGATACACCAATATTCGGTTAATTATTTTCTTAATTTAACAATATTTAATGTAAACAATAAATATTTATGAAAGGGTATGTTAAATTCCAGCGATGTAACTATGTATACGTTACAAACAATAAACATCACTGGCGTGTTCATCAAGTAATTTTATTTTATTTGATGAGTGCTTACTAGATTAGGTATGCTTTGTTGTATTGATTTCGTGGTAGTTAATATATTATGTTGCCGACACCCGATAACTGTTCTTACCGATATTTCGTTAATGAGGTTGGTTACAAGAGAGCTTCTCGACTAGACCTCGTATATGTATTTGACATAAATTTGTCTATTATACACGTCTTAAAATGTTGCGCAAGCTTTCTTTCGCAAAGCATAGTAGAATGTACAGTTTTAAATCGATTTTTGTTTAAAAATAATCGCCGCGTCGTTAATATACCCTATATAATATAATATAGAACCAGAAGCATATTTTATTTAAAAGAAAACAAAAGCCTTTATATCAAACTAGGCTTATTAGTTTTGCTATGTCGTGAATAATAAATATTTATATAACAAACCATACACACATCAGTTTTTTTTTAATTCTGTTAGCGCAAATTAGCGCTCTTCTTAGGCGTAATATTGTTTTTATATATATTACATTTCTTATTGAAGTTATATTTATAGGAAGCTTAGTTTAAAGTTAAAATAAAGAAATAAATAAATAAAATTATTACTGTATAGTATTTTTGCAGCGGTACATGGGGCTTCCAATTACTGCGTCCGCATATTCCCGGATTTTTCGAAGTAGCCCAGCTGTGGTCCACATCCTTGAAGTGGGGCGATGCCGGCCAAGCCAAGCATAGTTGAGAGTGCGGTTTCTTGCAAAGAATGTACGTCTGCAAGAATAAAATAAATTAAAAATATATAAAATTACCAATTCAAACTTAACCGTATTTAGATGCAGTTCGCGATTTAACTGCTGATAGAAATAAACCGTGATCAAAAATTATATCGAGGACAAATACAGGTGCAAAAGAAACGGTTATTGGATACAAAATAATGGTACATTTAAAATGATTTCTTATATTCACGCGGATGCTACACATGAAACAAACTTTACGGATTTGTTTCTAGTCTCTCCCGTGACCATGGGAGCTGTAAAAGGCTCGAAACGTCTTTACTTGTAAAGTTAATACTAAACACGACAGAATCCGTACAATTAGTTTCATTTAATAAAAACGTAAAGCTAAAAACTAAATCAGTAAATAATGTGAAGGGTTGTTTTGATCGTTGATACTCGTGATTCAAAAGTGCAGATGTTTGACCTGGTGTGGAGAGTGGTGCGTCGGTTGCGCCGTGGCTAGGGTGGCTAGGGCGGGCAGGGCGAGGGCGAGAAGTGCGCAAAGGGCGGGCGGCGACGCGAGTGACGCGCGCACTGGTCTGGAGGCTGCACGCATGCCGTCGGCGGCGGGCGAGATCGCTGTGGCGCGCTGCGAGCTGCCGCCGCAATCCCGTAGCCTGACCCACGACCCAAGATGAACTCTCCCAGATATAAGTTCACCCACCCAATTTAAGCGATAGTAAATTCCGCTACACTTTGTCGCACACGAGGAAATGCTGATAAACGATCTCAAAATTCATCTTAAGTTGTGCATGTTCCATTTAAATATTAGCGGATGTAAGTATTTTTGGCTTTCCATTGTTAATGCGCAGTGTGCAATATAAGATTAGAATTGAGTAATTTTTATCCCACTGCACCCAGTTCCGGATTAAGGAAGCCCAAATTATATTGAGGGACCCTTGATCTGCTATAGGTTTTAAATATAAAATGGTAAAAAACATTCAGTACTCAATAAGTTTATTTGCGACCTATAGGTTACAATTTTGTTGGTGTTTAATAGTACAGTAGTTTACTATAGGCCTTGTTAGACTGGCAAGTACAAAAAGCCAGACTTGAGATTATCCTGGTAATTTAAAATGATTTTGATAAGAAAAAAAAACAATTTAAAACTGACGATTCTAACAAATAATTGAAAATGATTTTAGTATATACTTCAAAGTTTATATTTATAACAAAGTACATTATTATACTTTCAGGAATACCTTATGTTGTATTTTATTAATGGAGTACTTAAATTATGGATATATTTTATATTTATTTATCTCTCTCTTTTATTACTTTTTAAACAAATTTTTTAGACAAATTTAGAAATAATACTATTCGTATCAATTTCTCTAAGCAATAACAAATAGGGAAATAAATCAGGCATTCTTGACTCTTAAATTAATTTTTTACTCGGTTCAATGTTGAAAATGAACTTTCACTACTGCTGCAGTTATATTAGTAGTATAGTTAAAGCACGAATGGTTCGGCTCGACCAGGGAAGGACCACGCTCTCACAGAATACCAGCGTAAAATAGTAGCTTAATGCTGCTGTGTTTCGTGGTGCTACATGGTGAGTGTAGAGAACTGGAGACCCTTTTTACTGGAAACGAGGCATTCCATCTTAGTCCTCACAGGTGACAACGCATCTGTATTTTGATTCGTAATCGAGGATAGATGTAGACGTCTATGGGCCACTGCAACCACTTACCATCAGGTGGACTGTGTGCTCGTTTGTCACCCTATACTATAAAAAAAAGTTACTGATAATAACAGATAATAAATGCGCTAAGTAGTTTCTAAATTGGGGAAACATAATTGTAATGAATTAATTATCCATTTGGAATTTATATATTGAATTTCTGGAAATTCGGATGTGGCTGGTGTGATTGACAAATCGCACCACCCACATCCGTTTTGAGCGAATGCATAAATCTATGCTATATGTTCAAACATTTCTTCTTTTATGTGAGTGTTGTGCAGTGCAAGGCACTTCTCGACGCGTACTTCGCGCTGGCGATCATTAAGTTCGCAGGGCACCCATTCATCAAGCTTTTTTACCTTGCCTATTTGACGCAAATGGACCAACATTCTTTTGAAAGCTAACGTCGAAAGCTACTGCTAATTGAGCCGTAGATTGAGTATCCACCACACCTTGTTAAAATTTTCCAAAAAACCTATTTGATTATGGTATGCTTTCATGCGTTTGTCTAAAGCAGTTATCAATAATGATAACAGTCACTTCAATTTCAAACTGTTTACCAGGTCTTCCTGTTTAAACAAATCCTTCAAGTGAACCGCTGAAATGGTCGTAAGTACTTGGTGTTTCGCTTACGTCATCTTGAAGTTTGTTGCTGATATTGATCTTTTCTTTTTTTAGAGATCTTTGGCTTTTGCTTCAATATCTGAAAATGTTTATCGCATTGTTTAGACATATCCATACAACGATTCATAAAGTGTATATCCCGTATTAAAGTCTATATTAGACGATTGCAGCGACACGACGCACTGATGTACGTATTAATATACTTATGTCTATTTCTTTGGAACGCTCTGCCGACTAAATGTCTTGATATATTTTAACTGCGCCACAACTGCGTGCCGCAGTGGCTTTGCAATCAGCTGCAGCGCTGAAGGTCGCGGGTTCGAATACCGCACGTAACAAATGTTTTATTGCCTACACATAATTGTTCCGGGTTTGGATGAGCGTAACGGTAGTTAGACACAAAAACTACCGTCTTAATCATGAAATCCATTTACGTTCCAACCCCACATAGCTGCTGCTTTATTTTATCTATCTATCTAACTACCTATTCCAACTTTTCTCACACGGTCTATTTCTACTCCATTCATTTCATATCTAATATCTTGAAATAGAAAGGAAATGGAATTATAAGTTAGATGAACTTTTTCGTTTTGGTTACTCCAGCGGAATCTTTAGCTTGTACACACAATTTTCCATCGATGTATATTGACTTACTACACTTGCCGTAGATAGTTATAGTTCGTGCCAAATCGATTGAGAAAAACGGTCGATGACCTCAGATATGAGCCGAGTGTCAAAAGGCGTAACTTACAAAATCTCAATTTAGATGTGATAACAATATTTAAATATTGATATTATTAACACTTCTAGGTCAGCACATATGTTTTGTTTTTTGTTTCTTAAATATTATTGTCTGTGGTTCCTATAAACATAGTAAAATCTTACGGTACATCGCGAAAAATGCGTTATATTTTATATTTCAATTTATGGTAAGTAACGCAGCAATTCATTTAATAACAGTTTCATATTTAAAAAAAATTTGAAGCAATCTAATCACCATATTGAGCTTTTGCTAATTCATCCCTTTAAAATAAACAAAACGCGCGTTACGTCAGTTCGTTTTAAAAGAAACGTGACAATGGCAGCCAGTGATGCATCACTTTTTTTGGGCCGGTTCGGATGCACCGAATAAAAATGAAGTTCTTATATAATATTGAAAATAAAGTTTTATCTTTTGAATAAGTACGTACTTATGCGGTGTCGTTAACACACGAATCTTTATGAGTGTTATAAATTAATGCTCTTTGTTTTTAAATGAATAAAGTACTATATAACAATAGACGATTTTACTTCTACAGCGATCTTTTACATAACGCTTTAATCATAGTCAATAAATATATATTATATCAATCATTATAAAAAAATAATTAAAAAAATAATTATAAATAAAGAAAGTACTACATATAAAAAGTGCTTATATATTGAAGGTTTGTATTATATATTTTTATAGGGAAATAAACAACAAACAATTTTTTGTACTTCGATAAGTTGATATTCAGAAGGAATATTAAGTGCGAATTCACGTATTATACGCGTAGGTGAACCGTTTGTGAAAGAGCCCTGTATGAGATCACATTCGATTTGTATAATGGAATTATATTGGAATAATTTTCACAGAATCAGTTGATTCATGCCATTTATTTGCTTTTAAAACCGTTCTCGAGAATCTAAGCAATTGACGAATACTATTTTTACCCCAAAATCAATTGGTTTAGTACAAAATAAAGAACATTTAAAAGTATTGTTATTTGGATGAATCATTATGTTACAGTCTTTGATTTTCGATTTATTATGTTCATTTATAGCAGATAAATCATATAAGTGTCATAAGAAATTTTACTATGTTATTATTATTATTTAGGGTTATTAATAGAGTATTCTCATCTAGTTGGGTTGATATATAAAATTACTGACGTCCAGGGAGAGGAGTGCTTTGCGCACCGAGCGCTGTGTAAACCATACATCCGGTATGGAGCACTCACACCTTACAAGGTCGGCAATGTGTTGTCCCCATCATAGAGAGTCAAGTTGGACGCAAAAGATGAGCCTGAAAGATCACCTTTCTTCTTTGTGCCATGGGCTAGTGGAGTCGTCCTCTCTGTGCAGAGATGGCAGAAACAGCTGATAGAAGTTATCTTGGATAACCCAGACAAGAGACCATAACTAAATTACGGGTAGAGACCACAGCTTCAGCAATTTTAATATTTGAATTACAGCCAGCCACTAAGAACAAAGGCACCAAATAATTCAAATCCTTATTTTTCAATATAATTATTTGTTTGTTTTGTACCAAAATAAAGAAAAAGTAACACATAAAGTGCTTGCGGCATTAACTCTATTAAATATTAATCTGTAAGTGGAGCTTGCATAGGCAAGCTCAGCGCTCCTCGGATCTTGCACCTTAGACTTAGCCTATTTAGCCTGTGGGAAAATCAGACCCTAGTTAAAATACAAGAAAATTTTCTTGTATGCACTTATTTCAACTTTAACATGCGAATTAATCCCTACAACAAATTCCTAATTCATTATATGCGGTGGAATCCTTGGTTACATTCGTTTGTTTTCTTTTATTCAGTGTTATTTTGTTAGTGGTAGAGTCAAGTTGCAGCTACGTATATTATGATTGTAGCACTAATGGGTTGGCCCAATCGGGATGGGACCACGCCCTCACAGAATACCAGCCTGAAATAGCAGCTTAATGCGTGTTTCGTATGGTGGGTGTAGACCGAGGACCCTTTTCACTGGAAACGAGGCATTCCATCTTTGTCCCCAAGGTTGACGCATCTGCATTTTGATTGTTAATTGAGGATACATGCAGATGTCTGTTGAGCACAGTATCCACTTACCATCAGGTGGACTGTGTGCTTAAAAAATCTCTACTCGTATTCAGTTATTCGAATGAGTAGTTTGCGAACTCTGGGACCTTGAACGAATTGTAGTTAATTCATTCAAGTCTGGGATAATAGCAATTATATTTAATTCCTTCATAAAGTTCGTTCCGCAATACCGTCGCACCTTGAAAGAAATTTAGGATATTATATGCATGAAAAGTTAAATTACAATCAAAAGTCATACCAAGATCTTTAATGTTTGTCTCACACTTTAGAGTAGTATCGCCTAAAGTGTAAGTGGCTTGTAGAGGCTGTAATTTGCGAATAAAGGTCAACATAACACTTACTCGTGTTGAAAAACATTTTATTGTCAACGCTCCACTGGTAGACTCGATCGATATCACTTTGAAAATTACT